AATTACTGAAATCTAATTTAAAGCCAATTACAACAAAGAAATATATCATGTTCAGAAAAATGAGATCCTGTTTAGACCACATTTACATACACCATTTTAAGAAACAGAAAGCTAATGAAACTTGACACACACATATGTTTTATAGACTTTAGCAAGGCGTTCGATTCGGTTAACCGTACCTACCTCTGGCATAAACTTGTTAAAGCGGGTATTTACGGAAATATGCTGAGAACGATCAAAAGCATGTATACAAACTTACAAAGCTGTGTTAGACTAAACGGTATTCTAACAGACTGGTTTTCGGTCGAAACTGGTGTTTTTCAAGGAGATAATATAGCTCCCACATTAAATGCACTATTCATTAACGACGTAATTAAAGATATAAGTGCTTTGAATTGAGGAATCCGTCTAGATTCTGCCTTGCAATCAGTACATTACTTTATGCTGACGATATTGTGCTTATGTCGGATAAAGAAAACGGATTGCAAAAACAACTAACAGCTCTAAATAACTGGTCTTTGAAATGGTGCTTGCAAGTTAACTGTGACAAAACGAAAGTCATGCACATTAGACAAAAGTAATCTTCGCGCTCAGACAAAGTATTTAAGACGGGGAACAAAACTATCGAATGCACACCAAGATATCGAAACCTAGGACTTAGAATATCGGAAACTCTAGAATTTAACGAGTGCGTGAACGAACTCATCACAGCTTGTAGTAGAGCACTTGGTGCCTTATCATCAAAATATTTTCTCGGGGATGGTTTTGATTACGAAACATATAAATAATATTCGCAAGTACAGTTATCCCAATCATTGACTATGCATTAGGTGTATGGGGTTACCAGCCTTACGATAATATTGAAAGACTTCAATACAGAGAAATCAGGACTTTTATGGGAGTTGGGAAATGTTGTCAATTCAAATAGCAAAGTTTCTTTATACACATGCAGTTCTTTAGTCACTTTCGATATTTAACAAGGTAGTCGTGTTACAATGTTCGCACTACTTTTTGAACCTTACTTAAACTACGGTGTAGTATTCCAGACTGCGTAAACACAGGTAGGAAGAGCCAACTGTGGATTAAAATGTACATTTTGGAAGATTTGAGGCTTTTGGATCTTTTAAAAAGCCCTCCGTGAAAATGAAGGACAGATTTTATTTGCAAGAAGTCTATTAAGCAAAGTACGTATTTTTATAGAAATTGATATGCAAATTGGATTATTTATCCGTGCATAACCACGTTATAGGAGTCACACGAAGGTTGTCACATGTGGAAACGGATCTGTTTAACCTTCCGGAGCACATAGGATCGTCAACGGTACGTTTTGCTAAGAGTTTGATATAGATTATGTGTTTGGAAGTGTTGTTCGTCATTTCTTCGTATTCTGTTATTAGCCCTGATTTGTCGGTACCTCTTTGATTAATGAGTTTTGATTATTCTTTGTTCCTAAATGATTTTAAATCAATGATAAAAACGTTCCACACACCTCGGAAAATCTAACAAAAGATGAGGGTAGCGTAATCTGCCTAGGTTTGCCGATTGTGATCAATATAAATACTACCGGTGAACGCGATTAAACTTAACAGACGTAAACAATTTCTAAAAATGTATTACAACACGTCTAAGATAAGTAGAATATATGTCAATGTTAATTAGTTGATAAACGATTCGTATGTCTGTCTGAAGTAAATCAGTTTTCTTTATCTTTTATATATTTATCATCTGTCTGCGTTTTGATTTTTTATGAGCTGCGTGTCCAAATTTCATCTGAAATAAATTCGTTTCTAAAAGTAAAATTAAGTTTGTGGTTGCTTTAGTTAACTCTGAACTGTTTACATAATTCAATTCCAAATTAATCAAATTGATGTTCGAAGAAACAACTTAATGGCATCTATAGATTTGGTTGTTTGTAAGGATATTGGCTATTATAATCTTTAAAGTTTGTAAGTTTTTATTTATTTATTTTTCTTTAAATCCTTTCCGAAACATTTTTTTTATATTTTCTTTCCGTGTAATGATGTATATAAACAATCATAGATACTCGCCTCAAAACTGTTTGTCTATAAAAGATTCGGCAATGACCATGATGACACTCGAATACAAAAAAGTCAAAATTTAAAAAGGTTATACGAGGTAGGATGTTGGAGCGCATCGAGGAACAAACATTCCGAAAAGTTTTTACAAAGATAGCTATCATGGTAATTTATTCCTGGGATAGAAAATCCTAAATATTTCAAAGTTTTAAAGCCTTATATTTCATAAAAAAATTTTTTTTTACATTAAATATTGACATAAAAATTGGTCGAGCAAGGATAACTTATTTATTTTTTATAATCAATGCGATATATCTAGAATTATACTCATCAATCATTATGGTTGACACTTTGTAGTTAAATATAGGTCATTCCTTATAATTTAATTCTACATTCTTTTTAAGGAGTAAATCATGACGAAGAAAAAAAACGTTGATGACATCACAGTCACATGACAAAAGTATGCATATAAGCACAAAAAACTTTCAGCCAATCAGAAGACGTGTTACAACCAAAATTAAATTACCTATATTTTAATTGGAATATACTGTAACTATAACAATCCTAAAAATAATACAATTAAAACCGAATACAGTAACACTTGTACGAAATGTACAATTCTAAAATTCCTGTATGTAAGGAAAAACCAATTTGTCCGAACACCTGACACAAATTCCTAAACCTGACTTTAGTTCATTCATAAGTATATAAACTTTATGTACTAACATGGAATCATACCATCCTAAATAATAATGTCGTTGATTTTACTTTGGGACAGCATTCGTACATCATCGTCACATAACATAAGGAAGAATATTTTTTTCTATTGAAGGCCATAGTTAAGTTTAAGTTTTTAGTTTAAACATATTTATTTATAGTGGATTGGGAAACAAGTAATCCCTTTCCACTTTGCTGGTGCGAGTGCTGACTTGTAGCGGCATTAGTCTGCTCTTTTTAGAAAATCTACAAAGGTGTCTTTAACGTGCAAGATATATTGCTCTCTCTTAACACCGGTCAGCCAATTATCGTCCCTTTCCGACGGACTTTCATCGTTCCTCAAGACCATACTCGCATATGGTGTCAAGGGAGAGTCGAAAATTCAGTCCCTGAAATTTTACCTCGGAATGGGGATCAATCCAGGAACCTTTGTGTTAGTAGTCCGATGCGCTAACCACTACACCACGGCTCCCACTTATTTTTATATGGATGTTAACGCAGGATATATGAAACAACGTTAAGCTATGTTTCGAAATATAATTAGCCTTTGATGTTTATCTAAAAAATATTGCTACAACCGATTATTGATACATAACAATATAAATATAACCTACATTTGTACTTTATCGATTTATAATTTGTTTTACCTTGAATATTAATAATGTTTTCACTTGACGTTTATTTGGATCAATCAATCTAAGCCATTTTATTTAACGATTTGTAGAATAAAATAAAACAAAAGTTCGTTAACAGATACAGATTCGATCAAACATTATAAGATCAGATTCCCCTATACTACACGTTTACTTATCTTATGAGGTGCAGATTTTATAGATATTATTTAGTTATCTGTGATAACCTGGATGTTACGAATAAACACTCACCATGCCTGTTTTACATATCTCAGTTACATATACAATGATAAGTTATGCAATCAATTTTTAAAATTATAAAAGAAATATATATATTTATGTAGTTGAAGCTACAAACATATATTTTTTATAGAACATCAAAAAATATGTTAAACTTTTTCTCAAATTTTGTGTAGTTCAAACTACAAAAATATTTTTTTGTCATGCATCCGATTTCACCTTGAGAGATGCACACGCCTGATGAAGCTAATTTGTTTAGCGAAATATTGCGTATTTCTATTTAAAATCTAATAGAACTTTTTGATGTATTAATTAGCGTGTTTAAGTTATATTCTTAGACATTTATATAATTTTAATTCAGTAACTGTATCAGTTTATTTTCACAAATTGATCCACGCCTAAATAGATTGAATGTTGATTGTTGCTATTTTTAGACATTATATATAAATATATATAATATATATATATATATATATATATATATATATATATATATATATATATATATATATATATACAACTCGTCTAATTGGGCTGATGATTAGACGAGTTGTATATACAGAATGTACACAGCCATGTATCACCATCACTGCTTGTGATCCGATGGATAAATCTTTTGTAGAGTTGTCACTGGTTCAGCCGTACTTATATATACATATATACAAACAAGTCTAAATTGAAAACAACGTTCAAACCTATGATTGCGTTGGATAAAAACCGCAATTTTTATACGTGTGCATGAAAAACAAATTTTTTGGAAGAGGGGTCTAAATACAGCACAAACAACATTTTCCAAAAGACCAAAAGAGTGAAAAAGTATATTTTAACAAAACGCATTTGACTAGCAGGTCGAACAACGTATGTTCTTAAACCCTGCTGACTGCCCTGGCGATTGCCAAATAAACGGATCACAGATGTAACAAAATGGATCTTAATTATTAATTTAATACTAAACAGAAAACAATAAACTTGCGGAAAAAGATGGTATACTGCAAACATGAGGTGCAAAAAGTTGTACACCATATCCTGATTTCGACAATTATAAACCCGAAGGCAAATATAATACAAGCCAAAACGAAAAAATATAAACAAGTCTAAATTGAAAACAACGTTCAAACCTATGATTGCGTTGGATAAAAATCGCAATTTTTATATATCTTTATTTATAATTGAAAAGGTTGATATGCAGGCTACAACAGTGCAAACTGGAGGCCATGACCTAATTTATATGATGTTTTCAGTAGATGATACCGCACAAATTATACAAATTTAAGCACAGCTGCAGATCATGAAAAGTATTATCATGATATTGAAAACTAAACAATTTATAGTAATGAGTTGAGACATGTGTTCTGATTAACAAAGATGTAATAACCCGCTTAATGTTTAATGCGTTGTTGCTTTAGAAAGAAGAATTGGATGAATTGAACGAAATGTGGTTGTTTGTTTTTACTGTTCTGTCATATATCTGTTTCGGATTTTTATTAGATGTAAGTTCCGGGCATGCTGAATTAATGGATGAAGATCTTGTGAAAAGCATTCACGCGGAATTGAAAGCACTATCAAGCAATTACCACAATCTTTTTTTAACAGTTCAAAATGACAGAAGTGAAATTGATTCTCTGATTAAACAAAACCAAGATTTAAATCAAAGGCTTATCAAAAATGTGGACAAAATGGAGGAGCTAATTACGAATGAAGAATTCTTAAATCAGACGATCAAGGCATTTCAAACACTTACTTCAGAACAGCAACGTGAGTTAAATAAAGAAAAATCTATGTCAATAAAATTGACAAGCAATAACAAAGATCTTCTTTATAGAGTTAATCGCGAAGTTGATTTTCTGATAAAACAAAAACATGATTTAGAGGGAAAGATTAATACCACTGAGGAAAAAATGGAGAAGTTAATGTCGGAAAAGGAGACCTCAAGTCAAATCATTGAGACTTTACAAAACATTACTTCACAACAACAACATGAGTTAAATAAAGCAGAATATAAGTCCAAAAAATCGAGGGTTTCCGTAGCATCCTCTTTGACTTTATTGAATAATAAATTACAAGAACTGACAAATTCCACAGGTATTGGCTTTAAAAATCTAAACGGAAATATTTTAAAGGAGAGGAAATTGCTGAGAGAAGAAATGCGGAAGTTCGAGAAACGGATTAAACGAAGGATTAACAAAAAGCTTGACAAAATAGGTAAATGAACTTAGAGCATAAAAACATAAAAAGTCCGAAAAGTAGAGACATATAAGGCTAAGGCAATATATGCCTAGTGGATTTCTATTATTACATCATAAACATTTACTTTACAAAAAAAAAAAAACATATCAAGAATAGTTCATGTCGACACCAAAGTAATGACAACTAGGCTTAGCATACAGTCGAAGACAAAAAACGTCCACCAGAGTTGCATCTACTCAATAGATAAATGAAAAATGGATATAGCAATGATATTGCATTCCAACACAAAAATACATCAGAAAATAAAAAATGAAATTCTAAACAGAAAAAGAATAAAAAAAGAAAAAGAAAAATTGCAAATCAAATAGTTTTTACAATGATGCAGCTGATGTATGCACACATTTATATTTGTGTCAAAAAGTGAAGAATTGGTATTTTCTATATAAAAAAAAACCAGATTTGCTAAAATTGAACAGTGAAACAACAATTATGTGTAAAAGAAAACAATTTTCTGAACATGAAAACTATATTTAAAAAAAAATCGCACATTTGCGACATCCTTACAAATAGGCAATTTTCACGGACACATTTAAAAAAACAAGGTTTTGAAAATTCTTGATTATTCCAAAATGTTGTTAAGATGAAAATATACGAATTTGCGTGCTGTATACAGATTGCGTAATGATATTTTAACGGATAGTTTGAAAAGGTTGTTTATCAATTTGTGTTATTCGGTTTGAGGTCAGTATATATATAAGCTAATTGAACGGGATTTAAGGCTAGGGATTGTGTAGTTATAATACCAACGCACGTCACAAGTCATACAATTATTTGTTTTTGTCACTTTTTTTATTTGAAGCAGAGGATATAGTGTGTGTTTGATAATAAGAGTTGAGTTGGGGTTACCTTTCCTCGTCAGTTTTTATCTAGCGTCGTAACACAGTACATGATATATAAGGCATGCAGATGGAATATTACAGATTATCTAAATTATCTATCGTAAAGTATCTTACAAATTGATGTAAGATGCAGTCACAATAATAATCATATTACAAGTACATCTGAACCAGTGACAACTCTACGACAGATTTCATCCATCGGCTCACCAGTGATGGTGATATAAGGCTGAAAATACATTTTGTATATATAACTCGTCTAAACAACAGCCCAACAATGTTAGGTCTGAAAATTTGTGGAAGCAATTTTTGTTTTTCTTCCTTGGCCGGGATTCTAACTCATGCTACTGAAATATCGTGGCTATTTGATGTTTGTTAAAACAAAGTGCATTACAACATAAAGAAAAGCATTAATAAAACATACAGAGTAGTCTCATTTAGAGCAATGCAAATTGGTTTATTGTGCATTGGATTGATACATGTCTGTTTTTAACAGATATAAGTCGTATAGAGATGAAAATAGCATTCTGGTCTCAAAATTTTCTTACAGCGGTATTAACTTACCGATCAGAAAAGTTTACTTGTACAAAACACTTCCAGTGTATACCTGCCGCAAGCAAATGTGATGATGTCGCTGACTGTTCTGATAAGTCCGACGAAGAAAGGTGTGGGAGGTCAGAATTTAAAAATATGGCATGCTGGCCTTGGTTTTTGTTTTATTTGTATGAAACCATCGGACCATTGGAAAAATCAGTGGGAAGTTCTTTACGGGTGCAACTGTTGTATAACCAAATTACACACAATATAAAGTTTGAAAAATTCTATATAAAAAGTATTATAACAATAACTACACCTTAAATTAGAATGCTGGATTTTGATTGGCCGGTAGCCAGTGTATTTGTTTTTGCATATTCTAACCTTTATTCCTCGTTTCAAACGAATTTGCCTGTTGTTCACCACTTTCGGTGAATATGCCTCAAATTCCCCTCTATGCCGCGGTATTTGCTATTTTGGATATTCATATTTTACCCTCGCGAGGGTCTTCCCGCAAAAATTATTCGGAACCTTTCTTACCTTATCTCGATTATTAAGGCAACATGATTTAATTAATAGACGTAATCCAAAAACTGTAAAAAAGAGAAGAAAAAATGTGAGACAAAACGACTGCACGGCACAGATCTCGTGATCGTATATTGAAGAATATAAAGTTAAAAAGCGACGTCTTTAAAAATGAGCGATTGTATGATGAAATGACAATGACGTTTACGTCTTAAATACCATGACTGACGTTATATAAAGACAGCGCTAACGCGTGAAGGTACATGTATAATTCTCGCGGTACTATGGTAGTTTTACTTATCCTCAAAATTATGCATAAATATGTTTGTGCCATAATGCTTAATAGTACAAAAAATCTACAAAAAGATATCCATTCACCTGTTCAGGGACTGTCAATTAAAAATCTATTCGGGTTAATTTAACAGATATATTGTGTTAAGGAGGGTTTGTCATAGATTCTCGTACTAGGATGACCGCAAAGTGTCAAATGCAAGGTATAAGTCTAAAATTGTAAAGCATTACTGATGTCGTTTTCTGAACAGTAACTTCTGTTTTAGTTGATACATTGTTTAAATATATAACTAGTTCAAAGGTAATACAGCGTAGACACAGATATGACTTGATATGATTAATGACTTTATTTTTAACATAAAAGCTATTATACCCAACAACCACCGCAATAGAAACGGTCGATGTATTGATATAAGCCTATTTAAAAAAAATTGGTATAAATGGAAGAATTCTTATTTTGGTTGCAGACACACATACGGAAGACTTTGTGTGATGTGGCATGAATATCTTGTATGAACACCAGTCATTTTGTTGAACATTGGGTGTTCACAACTGGTAGATATTTGGTTGTAGGGCTGGTGTTGCATTGACGTTTACCATACACGTCTTTATATTCGACGTATTAACTAAGCTCTCAAGCTCTATACTCTTGCTAAATAAATAGCATAAATCTAGTGCACGAAACTGGCATATGTTTTTTTTTTTTATTAATTACTTATTTTGAAACACTAAAAAATGACGGATGCACATTGTCAGCATCCATTCATCACTAGGACGAAGTAGAGGTTTATTTTGTTCACATTTTAGGATTTTTCAGAAAGATATATTTTTGAATCGAATTGCAAAGGAGTTTCGATTAAGCTTGAGTAAAATAAGTACAATTTTCATCAGACCACTTATAATACATTTAACCCTACCAACGTTTTCTTAATGTCATCAGTATTGTCTAGAGGAATGTTTAATCATCACATCAAACATATATTGAAGTGTTCATATGTAATTTATCACCCTATTTAGAAATCCTCATTTATTCTTCAAAATATCCTTTACCTAGAATAAAGTCCTCGATATAGACAAGTTACTTTTATTGAGAGGTTTAGCAAGCTTTAAAACCAGGTTTAATCCATCATTTTCTTCATAAGACAATACATGTACCATGTCAAGAATATGACAGTTGCTATCCATCGTTTGATGTGTTTGAGGTTTTGATTTTGTCATTTGATTAGGGACTTTCCGTTTTGAACTTTCCTCGGCGTTTGGTATTCTTGTGATTATGATTTTTATTTGAAAATTTGATTTCGGTTGATTGAATGTGGCAGCTGCAAGCAGAACAGTGGAGTATTTTTTAATCTAGGGAGATAATTTCCTCGCAATAGAATTCTTTATATAATTTCTGAATATATCTAGATTCCTAGTTGATAGAAAATTAAGTGGTTGGTTGGAAACACCTTGCAGTGTTATGTGTGATGTAGCTACCTGTTTACTTTATCACAAATGTTGTAATATAGATACTCATTTTGAAGGAAACAATGTACAGGAAATAGTAAAGTATTGAACATATCACATGCTCGCTATCTACCCCCATCCCATGTTTATCTTAGAAGAGTAGACCATCCACACGCATTGCGAGTAAAATGTACAGGGACATAGCACTAGTTTGATAAGATATCATAGCAGTTCATTATTTGAGTGCAGTTGAAATACCTGACCTGTATAGAAATGAATTATAACTTAGAGCAAAATTTTAAGATAAGAGTTAATTTCTTTATACTTAACTTGTCCACTACGCCTTACTTGATCAAGCTGGATGTCTCCTATTTTTTCATTTGGTTGATTTATATTTAAATATAACAATTACATATTGCCCATTAAATAAATACGTATCTATTCTTCAATCTTTCATTATTTATTAGATGCTATGTGATAAGTCTCCAAAACTGAAAGTGAATTTGTATGTGAAAGTTGATGGTATATGCCAGTTGTATGCCGATACAGTAGAATTTAACATTTGTCATCAGGGCAGCAAAAAGACTCGTTAAAATCATTTTCGAAAAACACAGTGCTAAAATTCTTTTACAATGTATTATTTTTGTTTACATTACGGCTTTAATTTGAGTATATCTTTTCAATTTGGTAGTTGATGGAAAATGGAGCCGTTGGATAGAAAAACTATGCAGTGTAACGTGTGGTGTTGGTAGCCGTTTACGGTATCGCCAATGTTCTAATCCATATCCTCAACATGGTGGAAAAAATTGTACAGGAAATATCACTGAACATGTCACGTGTCTGCAGTATAACCCTTGTCCAGGTAATTCTTTCAGTGATAGATCAGTCACAAATATGATAGGAGTAAAATTTCCGAACACTATATACGTCACATGTATGTGGGGAAAAGATTGTATTGAATGTTGGTATAACATCACAGCGGTTCACATGTGAAGAATCTCAATAGTGTAGAAATTAATTGTTACTTCCGGCACAACTTTCACTTACTAAAAGAGATGCAATCATACTTATGTGTGCTGCAATTCTCGATCTAGCAGGAAATCTACTATTTTGTTATAGAATTATATTTGTTTACAAAAAAAATCTAGTCTCGGAAACCCTTATCCTGTCTTCCAGAAGTTTCTAGATAATCATGTTGCCATGCGATGATGTTTTACATTAACAGTGCATTACGAACTCCTTTACAACGTTGTCATTTCAGAAAATTGTACTGCAAAAATCTCCTATTCACTTTATGCTTTTTAATTTAGATTATATTTTAAGAATATCTATTCAAATTCGTAGTGCATGGAGCATGGAGTGTTTGGAGCGAAACCATCTGCAGTGTTACATGTGGTGTTGGAACCAGTTTACGATCTCGCAACTGTTCTAATCCACATCCTCAATATGGTGGGAACAACTGTACAGGAAACAGTATAGACCATGTAACATGTACTCAGCCTAACAAATGTCCAGGTAACTGTTAGAATTACAGATTATTCAGAGGTAAAGAGTAAGTTATACATTTTTAAATTCCACAGTTATTGACAGTACTAGTGTACCATATATTTGTGAGATAATTACATCCCAATTGCAGGTAACTATTCTCATTTCATATAGTTCAAAGGTAAATGGAGAGTTCAACATTGGGATATAACAATGTGCACTATATTTATTTGGTAACAGAATGGATACCATATTCATATCATTTAAGAGATCCTAAGACATCATTTTATGCCATTGAAACATCATTCTGTATAAAATATTAGAAACTACTCCGAACTTCATTTAAAAGTTTTTAAAAGAGACATTTAAAACTGACCAATCGAAAATAAACTGACAACACCTTGGCCAAAAAGGAAAAACAAAGAGAATTAAAAACCAATTGTTCATAGAACAAATGAAGGTCTTTTTACTTCGTACGATTCATTTTAATATGAAAATATTTAAATTCGGTTTAAAATGTAATTTCTAGTGTCAAATGAAAGGTAATTCATAGCTGATTCCAAAAACATATGGTTTCTACACACTTTTGTATGGAATAAGTCCAAAAAAAAGCTACTTCCGGTTTACAAAAAATCACTTCCGGTTTGCATTTTCAAACACATATGGCTTGTAACCTAAAGCACAGAGTCCTATGACTTCATGATGTATAAATATGAATTTGAAGCAAAGGTCGAAATCTAGAACTTCCAATTGACCTATGACCTTGACCTTAATTTCAAGGTCATAAACCAAGGACCTCAAATCAAAAGACCCTAGGTCTTTAATATGTATGGTTAATGAGTTATATCACTTTACGCATAATTTTAAATATAAGAGGGGCGAAAACTCCCATTTATTGTCTACTCACCCTTTCAACCAAAATTTATGAGTAACGACATGATGCAAATGACAATTTGATAAAAATATGTATCTTTATCTGGTACGGTTTATGAAAAGAATTGAGAAAACGCCAAAATCAAAATTTAGAATATGACCTTGACCTTTGACCATGACCTAATTTTCCTTTTTTTTTTACCAAGGGCTTCATATTAAAAGACCAAAGGCATCTGTCATTCATGGTTCGCCAGTTAGAAATGCAAATCACTTATATCCAATGCATAAGGGGGAATAACTCTCATATGGAGTCTCCGGATAGCTTCGGTTCAAATGGCCACTCTAATCCTGAAGACGTAACGAACAATTTGGTAAAATAAATTTGTCGCTTTCTTTCACGGTTGCGAAGGATTAGTGGACACAAGAAAAACAGTGTTTGGGGAGAAAACTCTTATAACGTAAAGTATTTGGTTAAACGGTGTCAGTTTTCAAAGCGTCTAAACTGTTCGATATCATATCCTAAATATCTAAGCGACATCTAGTGAAATAACAATACTGCGCGTAAACAAAATTAAGGCGGAAGAAAAAAAATTAATTAAAAACCAATCGTTCAAAGAAGGTCTTTCCACTTCTAACGATTCATTTTGATATGAAAATATTAAAATTCGGTTTAAAATGTCATTCCCAATTTCAAATGAAAGGTAATTCTTAGCTGATTCCAAAAATATATGGTTTCAACACACTTTCTTATGAAATAAGTTTAAAAAAAAGATACTTCCGGTTTACACAAGATCACTTCCGGTTTGCTTTTTCAAAGTCATATGGCTTGTTACTTAAAGCACAGAGTCCTATGGCTTTATGATGTATAAATATAAATTGGAAGCAAAGGTCAAAATCTAGAACGTCCAATTAACCTATGACCTTGACCTTAATTTCAAGGTCATAAACCAAGGACCCCAAATCATGGTTAATGAATTATATCAATATACGCATAATTTAATATATAAGAGGGAGGAACACTCTTGTTAGTTTTCAGCGTACCCTTTCAACCAAAATAAATGACTTATGAAAAGTTGTAACTAAGAGTTTAGTATAAATATGTTGTCGATATCTTATACGGTTTTTGAAAAGAAATGAATATAAGCCAATATCAAAATTTAGAATATGACCTTGACCTTGACCTTGACCATATTTTTCTCTTTTTTTGGATCAAGGACCTCAAATCCAAAGACCCTAGGTTTCTATTATTTATGGTTTACCAGTTAGAAATGCATACCAAATGCAAAAGGGGGAATAACTCTCATATGGAGTCTTCATATAGCTTTGGCTCAAATGGTCATCCTAATCCTGAAGATGTAACGAGCAATTTGGTAAATTAAATTTGTCGTAATCTTTTACGGTTGCGAAGGAGAAGTGAACAATAGAAAAACAGTGTTTAAGGAGATAACTCTCACAAGAAAAAGTATTCGGCTAAACAGGGTCAGTTTTAAAAGCGTATAAACTGTTCGATATCATATATCAAAAATCTAAGCGACATCTTGTGAAACAATAATACTGCGTAAGAAAAAAATTTAGGCGGAAGAAAAAAAAATAATAATTAAAGAAAATTGTTTAGAAGGTCTGTCCACTTCTAACGATTTATTGTGATATGAAAATATTAAAATTAGGTTTAAAATGTCATTTCCAGTGTCAAATGAAAGGTAATTCTTTGCTGATTCCAAAAACATATGGTTTCTACACACTTTTTTTATGAAATAAGTTTAAAAAATAGCTACTTCCGGTTTACACAAGGTCACTTTCGGTTTGCTTTTTTAAAGTCACATGGCTTGTAACCTAAAGCACAGAGTCCTATGGCTTTATGATGTATAAATATGCATTTGAAGCAAAGGTCAAAATCTAGAACGTTCAACTAACCTTAAACCTTGACCTCAATTTCAAGGTCATAAACCAAGGACCTCAAATCAAAAGATCCTAGGTCTTTTATATATATAGTTAATGAATTATATCACTGTACGCATAATTTTAAATATAAGAGGGGCAAAAACTCTTGTAAGTTTTCAGAGTACCCTTTCAACCAAAATAAATGACTTACGACATGTTGTAACTAACAGTTTAGTATAAATATGTTGTCGATATCTTATATGGTTTTTGAAAAGAAGTGAATATAAGCCAATATCAAAATTAAGAATATGACCTTGACCTTTAACCTTGACCTAATTTTCTTTTTTGTGGATCAAGGACCTCAAATTCAAATACCCTAGGTCTCTATCATTTATGGTTAACCAGTTAGAAATGCATATCACTTATATCAAATGAAAAAGGAGGAATAACTCTAATATTGAGTCTTCATATAGTTTTGGCCCAAATGGTCATCCTAATCCCGAAGATGTAACGAGCAATTTTGTAAAATAAATTTGTCGTAATCTTTAACAGTTGCAAAGGAGTAGTGAACAAAAGAAAAACAGTTTGGGGAGATAACTCTCACAAGAAAAAGTATTCGGCTAAACAGGGTCAGTTTTAAAAGCGTATAAACTGTTCGATATCATATACAAAAAATTTAAGCGACATCTTGTGAAACAATAATACTGCGCAAGAAAAATAATTAGGCGGAGGAAAAAAAAATAATAATTATTGGAGAGAAGGTCTTTCCACTTCTTACGATGTATTTTGATACGAAAATATTAAAAATCGGTTTAAAATGTAATTTCCAATGTCAAATGATAGCTCATTGTTTGCTGATTCCAAAAATATATGGTTTCTATACAATTTTGTTTGAAATAAGGGAGGTAATTTGTTACCTCCGGTCTGAAAAATGTCACTTCCGGTGTTATTAGATTATTTATTTGTAACTGCTTGAAAAAATACATTATGTATATTTTTACATGCAATAAGTACAAAAAATAGCCACTTCCGGTTTTCACAAGGTCACTTCCGGTTTGCTTTTTCAAGGTCACAAGGTTTGTTACCTAATGCACAAAGTCCTTTAACTTTATTATGTATAAATATGAATTTAAAGCAAAGGTCAAAATCTAGACTGTCAAACTTATTTATGACCTTGACCTCAATTTCAAGGTCATAAACCAAGGACCTCAAATCAAAAGACCCTAGGTGTTTAATATGCATAGTTAATGAGGTATATCACTTTACGCATAATTCTGAATATAAGAGGGGCGAAAACTTTCATTTAATGTCTACGCACCCTTCCAACAAAAATTTAGAAGTTACCACATGTCGCAAATGACAAATTAATGAAAATATATTGTCAATATCTTGTACGGTTTATGGAAAGAATTGAGAATAAGCCAAAATCGGTTAACGAGCAATTTGGTAAAATAAATTTGTCGTAATCTTTTAGGGTTGCGAAGGAGTAGTGAACAAAAGAAAAACAGTGTTTTGGGAGATAACTCTCACAAGAAAAAGTATTCGTCTAAACAGGGTCAGTTTTAAAAGCGTATAAACTGTTCGATATCATATACCAAAAATCTAAGCGACATCTTGTGAAACAAAAATACTGCGCAAGAAAAAAAATTAGGCGGAAGAAACAAAAAATTAATAATATTAATCAGAACAAAATCAAAAGGTCTTTCCACGGAAAGGTGGAAATACTTAATTTAAAACCAATTGTTCAGAAAACAATTGAAGGTCTTTTTTCCAGTAAAGATCTATTTTGAAATAAAAATATTAAAATTCGGTTTAAAATGTCATTTCAAGCGTCAAATCATAGCTTATTGTACGATAACTCCAAAAATATATTATTTCTATACAAAAATAATATCAATAAGGAAGATAATTCGAGAGTTCCGGTTTGAAAAATGATACTTCCGGTATAATTGATAGTTCACTTGACACTGATTCCAATAATATATGGTTCTATATACTTTTACATTAAATATGTACAAAAAAATAGCTACTTCCGGTTTTCACAAAGTCACTTCCGGTTGGCTTTCCAACGTGAATTGATAATGCAAAAAATCACATGACTTTATTATGTATACTTATGAGGTAAAAGCAAAGGTCAAAATCTAGAACGTCGAGTTTACCAATACCTTGAGCTCAATTTCAAGGTCATAAACCAAGGACCTCAAATCAAAAGACGCTACGTCTTTAATATATATGGTTAGGGAGTTATATCACCATACGCGTTATTTTGAATATAAGGGGGGATAAAACTCTAGGTCTCTATTACTTATGGCTTACCAATGAAAAATTCATATCACTTATATGGAATGCATAAGGGGAAATAACTTTCATATGGAGTTCCCGGACCGCTTCGGTGAAAACCAAACTCAACATCCTAAAGATATAGCCAGCAATTAGGTAAAATAAATTTGTCGTAATCTTTTACGGTTGCGAAGAAGTAGCAAACACAAGAAAACAGTGTTCGGGGAGATAACCCTTACAAAATAGGTATTTGGTTAAGTAGGGTCAGTTTTGAAAGCGAATAAACTGTTTGATATCATACACCAAATATCAAATCGACATCTTGCGAAAGAAAAAAAAATAATTTGAAATAAATCAATAGGTCTTTCCACGGAAAAGTGGAAATATCAAATAACAACAGAAAACATTACAACATTGAGAACCAAAGCCCGGGCAACAGAAAGCCGACCAAAACATGAGACGATAGCAGGTGATCCGGAAGGGTGAGCAGATTATGCTCCTAGTGTGGCATCCTTTGTGTTGATTACTGAAGTACAAACTCTGTGATAGGTCTAATTCGGTTTCTCACATATGGGGGAAAGGGGACGAGATTGAAATTACGACGATTGGAACATATCCGTCGTCATCTGTAAAACAAATAATCTATAACGGGCAACAAAGTCGTGACGGCGTCAGTAAAATTAACGAAGAGATGATTTTAACTTCAATCCTTTAAACTCTTGGTTTAATAGCTTCCTTGTGAGCAGCAACCCTCTATGAGAGAAATCATGTAAGGCAACACACGTTCTGGAATATCGTATCAATATGAGATATGTACTCCGTATGCAGACGCTGCTGGCATGTTTTTACATAAAAAAAGAAAGTTCGTAATAGGAAAGCTGAAATCTTCTTTTGTGACCTAAAATTTAGTTTTTCAACCGACCCTCTTTGTTAATTTCTAAAGATGTGAGCCAAGACCCCTATAAATGGTAAAAAATATAAAGAATAGAGAAAAATGTTCAAAATAATACAGAATAATGAAGTGCTTGGTTATAAAAAGATAAAGAATAGTTGGTAAAAAAGTATAAAATTTTGCAAAAATTGCCTGAGAACTTAAAAAATACAAAAATTAAGGACCCCAATCAAGACCCTAACAAACGTTTCCTTCTTTTTTCCAACCCGGTTTGGGGATTTCAGTTTCAAATTAATCGCTCTCTTGACGGATGACTTGATGAAAGCTAAGTATCACGGCAACAATTTATTTACATGTTCATCTATCATAAAATCAAATCTTCCTGTAAAATCCGATCCATGAGGTTATTTTGTAAAAATAATAAACGTTTTGTTGTAGAAAGCGCCAACATTTGAATGACATTTTAAATTCATGAAAAGTACAAGTACATTTAACTGTTGACATCGCCCATTACTCTTAAAAAAACATAACAAAAAAATCGTTTATATCCACGCAAAACTCAGATACACAATTATTTAATACAAAAACGATTTTTTCAGATCACAATTGTTTTACTAATGCTAGTGCAAATAAATTTTACTCCGAATTTAATTACAAAATAATGGAAAGTCAACAAATATTTGTTATTTAGATAGCAACAAGTGTCTTTAAAAACTTGGATAGTGTAGAAAAGCTTAATTATTTACGTTTTCTTAATCAAATTATTAATATAAAATATTATTAAGAATTGTACTTTATGGAAAATGAAGTCTTTGGGGGCGCATGTAGTGTAACGTGTGGTTTAGAAACCCGTTCAAGGCATACTGTATGCTGATCCACGTCCTCGATATCACGGGAACAACTGTTTAGGAAATACAGTTGAGACAGTCAAGTGTTCAAGTCATAGCATATGTCACGGTAAATTTAGAATAAGAGTTTATTCACAGGTAAAAAGGATATTATTCATTTGAATATAAAAGTCATTGATAGCGTACTATTTATTTCCATTAAAGTGGAATGAAAATTATTTCTGTCGAGAATTGTAAATCCTTCAAAATTAAATGGAGAATAAACAGTTTGTAAGTAACAATGTACCATATATTTAAATGCAAAGTGGAATAAATATGATATTTATATCTGTAAATACGTCACGGTTGAACAGTATGGATAACGTATTAATCATTAATTTCTCTCCCAATTTATCTCCTTAAGCACACTGTTTGTTTAGGTCATGTATCAACACTAGGGAGGTAAGCGGCCCGGTCACAGGTCGTAATGGAAAAAACGCTTATATCATTGAGCACGTAAAAATAAACATTGATCTCTAGAATAACTACTTGATATGAAAATGTCTTAAAGCATACAAATTATACCATTTTAAATAGTTATATATTCATTAGGTTAGTAAAATGAACTGTTCCAAACAGTCAAGATCTGTCAAAATTAAATTTACCAATAACATAAACATGATAAACAAAGGCCTGATTTTTACCACCTTACAAATATACTTGATATTTCTTTTTTTTTATATATAAAACAAAACTTTCTGCAATAACTGCAACATGTACATGTGGGGTAGACCCTCTTTTGTTGAATTTCTGTGTTTTAATTTTTACTAATTATAATTGCTTAAAATGTTTAATTATCTATGTGTATACCATACTTATCTATGGCTACTATGTATACTCTGATACAACTACTTATTTTAATTTCCATTCTAAACATTGCTAAATTAAAAATATTGAATATTTATAGATAACAAAACTTAAACCCCCAAAAAATCAGACAGGATCTACCTCACAGGCACCAGTGATTACTGCAAGAGATTGTACACAAGCATATTAAACCTTGATAATGTGAACCTAATATTAAACAAAGTTCAATTTTTCTCGATTTTAACTTTTCTTCTTGTTGAGTTATCGCACTTTTCAATATACAATAGTGGTACTTCTAATGTGATTGAATTATTTCCCTTCGAACTGAAATTGTTAATTATATATATAAAATTTGATTACACTAAGTGTTTTTAAATAATTTACACCTGTTATCAATATTACAAAGCATATGGTAAATGTCTTATCTCACAATTATAATTGGAGTGACAGATTGACTTGAAAATTTGCTGTTTCCTAAGTGCTGATGATTATAAGCTATATAGGACTGTATACATATAGAAAGAAATTTACTGTTCATTTTAAGACATTTTGAAGATAATGTCATTTTTATAGATCTTTAAAAGACATTGTATTAATCACTGTAAATGATCAATAAAATTTTGGATTTTTTTCTTTTCTTTGGTAAATTGTTAGAGGAATTTTGTGGTAGGTTTGTTTGTTATTCTGTAAACATTATTTTCTGAATGCTATATATATTTTTTTGATGATGTGAACTCCTTTAAAAACTAAGCTGTAATAGTGTTATTGTCTATTAATAAACATAAATTTATCATGTTCATATTTCTGATTTACGGCCCAGTTTGAAGTTGGTCCAAATCGGGGTCCAAAATAAAACTGTGTTTGATTTCAACAAAAATTGAATATACATAGGGTTCTTTGAAATGCTGAATCTAAATCTGTATTTATAATCTATTTTCATTATAAATTAGATAATACCTAATTGTGGTCCAAAGGGTCCTTAATTAAACTTTGGTTCATTTCATCAAAAATTGAATTCTTATTAGTCCCATAGCGACAAAGTCGATGGGTACTTCAGGTTTGCACTCTGTCTGTCTGTCTTTCTGTCTGTCTGTCTGTAAGTCCGGCAAATGAGTTTTCCAGGTTTTTTTTCTTCATGCTTGAAGATATTGATTTGCTATTTGGTGTATTGTTTTATCTTGAGAAGTTACAGGTCAAGCTCGATTTTCAAGATTTTAGCTTTTTATTTTGTTCCGTTAAAGCCCTTTCCCTATAATTTGATTTTTGATGAAATACTTATTAATTACTAGATATCTGTTTAAAGGGAAATAACTCATTTTTTAACTTTCCCTAGAATTTAATTTTTTTATGAAATACTTTTATTATTTAATTGACTTTTCAGCCCAGGTAACAACCCAGAGGACAGTAATTTACCATGGAGGTGGTGTTGTTAGTTCAGGATCAAGAGAATACTTTGAAGGCTTCAATGTCACTGACTTCGGCATGGACTTCTCATATATTGTCCGTTTCTATGGCAACGCATATATCCATTATGATTTTGGCAAAATTCGATTAGAACAGCAAGATATCCTGGTCAGGGTTCAAAACGAGACCTTCATCTTCCAGTTTATTACCAGCGAACAAAATGGACTGATCTGGTTGGACGATAGACAAGAAGAAGATTTGATAATGTACTTGGCAGTTAAGGTGAGGTTATACACAGTAGATATAGACATTTCTATCTTAAATATTTGATTTAATAATTATGAAGTTCAAGCATTGAACTGGTGAACCTCCTCATGTGATTTTTGATTATGTGATTACTTGGCAGTTTTTATGGTGATTATTTGATTACCAGACCAAAAACTTCATGGTTATTTGATTATTTGATAAACTAGGACTTCATTTTTGATTATTTGAATAACTTGTTTAAAAAAATACTTAATGATTATATGACTATATTGGTCAAAAATTTGGGATCATGTGATTACTTACACAACACAAAAAGAGGCATCAATGGTCATCATTCAGTGGTAATTTTATTGTTTTTGTTCTTTTTCTTCAATTAATTAAAATTGTTGATAGATCTATTAAGATGTTATTAAGATGTTGTATCAAACTCAGAAATGAAGAATAACTCATGAATGTTATTATTTCTACATATTTTTTACAAATAAATGCAACATTTAGAAAACACAGACCAAGGATGGGGAGAACTTCCCGTTGAAAGACAGACAAATCTTATTCATTTTAGTTATACTTTGTTGTGTAGTTACTTTGAATGATCATGTTTATTGATATAGGTAGAGTGTTGAAATCTATGCAGTATGATTTACCAAGAACCAAGAAAGACAAATATAAATCTAATTGTATAACTTAATTTCAGTACATTACAGTTATACTAAGGATGTTCGCTCCTCTTGTTTTTGAATTTCTGCCAGATATTCGGAATCATCTGGTTTTATCCATCTAGTGCCATTATACAATTTTCCTTGCCAACCCCTACTTTTCTTTTCATAACTTTATTACATATAGTTTAAAAACCATATTTGAAAATCCTACATAATGCTTGTTTTTTTTCATAATTTTTGAAAGAAAAATGGAATTTTAAATGTATGAAAAGTCTAGAAAGAATTATTACTCGCCAAATTTTCAATAGTTTATAATTCGAAAACAAGCACACGGACCCTTAATTTTTTTTCTGTTTTTTTAGTTCCTTTATATATGTACTATCGATTTATAACTGTCTTTTTATTTAGAAACAGAGTAGGGATCATTCTTAATATTAAAAAGGTTTTCATATGTTTATAAAAAGAGAAGAGATAATTGAGGATATGGATTTGGTCTTCATTTATGTATTGTTTGTTTATTTATTAGTAAACTGACATTTAAATGTCTGACAGATGGATGACTGTGTTTAAAAGGGTGTTGGTATCTTTTGACTTTCATCATTAAGCAAGCTTAAGTTGGTACCTATTAAAAAAATTTAAACCCGCTGAATTTGTTTGCACCTGTCCTAAGTCAGGAACCTGATGTTCAGTGATTGTCGTTTGTTGATGTGATTCATAAATGTTTCTCGTTTCTCGTTTTTATATAGATTAATTAGACCGTTGGTTTTCCCGTTTGAATGGTTTTACACTAGTCATTTTTGGGGCCCTTTATAGCTTGCTGTTCGGTGTAAGCCAAGGCTCAGTGTTAAATACTGTACTTTGACCTATAATGGTTTACTGTTACAAATTATGACTTGGATGGAGAGTACACATCTTTTTATATCTAATTAGGGCTTTTCAGGTTCAGATTATTTCCATGTTTGTAAGAACTTTTGAACATTATTGACGTGGGAATAGGAAATTGATTTCATTCTTTGAAATATAAATAGAATGAAAAGCTGGATATATGTTTTTGTCTATAAAAAGTTATATATATATATGTACATGTATATGTCAATAAGACAGCAACCATTGGAAAACTACCGACAAATTAAACCGAAGGGCAACATGCAATATTCAATAATAGATTGTTGTCCATACAAAATGGACAACCAGCCTTTGTTCAAGTATTATTCAGATCTGTGTTTTTATGCCCCATCTAGGACCATCATGTTTTTTTCCGTCTATGGGTCCGTTCATCCATTCGTTCATCCGTCCTTTCATTCGTCCGTCCGTCTGTCTGTTCCGCTTCAGGTTTAGGTTTCTGGTCAAGGTAGTTTTTAATGAAGTTGAAGCCCGATCAACATGATACTTAGTACACATGTTTCCTATGAAATGATCTTTCTAATTATAATGCCAAATTAGAGTTTTTACCCCATTTCACGGTCCACTGAACATAGAAAAATGGGGCATTCGTGTACTATGGACACATTCATGTTAATCAAGTATTATGATTGATACTGATTTGACTTTTCCTGAGTATTTATAGTATGTTGTTGGTACCCGAGATATTGATTTCTTAAATAGAACATATTTGACAAAAAAATATGTAAGTTCACAGGTCAAGGAAGTGTTGAAGGTGAAGGTCAATTGGCATGATGAATATGAAAGTAGAAAAATATTTATTTTCAGTTCGGAAAAGTGACAGAATGGAATAGGAAGCATGTTGATATAACTCAAACTTATACCTTTATTTTTTATTATAGTTGATCTGCACACAATCAATATACATTTATTATATTTAAAACAGGCTATTATTTCAACTTGGAATCATTTCTAATTATGGAATTTTCATAATTTCTTGTGCTTGAAATTTTTAATAAATTCCATGATTATTCTGTATTTTAATTTTCTGTGCAGCGCACAACACTTTCTATTACAAAAAAGATAGCACATTTCCAATAGCATGTAGTGTGCCGCGCACAACACTACAAGTATCTATACAAAATACCTTGTATGGACAGTGTTATGCATCGCTCAAAACATTATATTACAGAATAAACATGGAATTTATTTAAAAAATTCAAGCACAAGAAATTATGAAAATTCAATAATTAGAAATAAAATAAAGTAAAATATGACATATTAATAGATATGGGTAAAATATGACATATTGATAGATATGGGTAAAACATGACTTATTAATATCTACAGAATATAGAACATGGGAAAGAATGTGTAAAAAGTAAAATCACAAAAATACTGAACTCCGGGGAAAATTCAAAACGGAAAGTCCCTAAATGGCAAAATCAAAAGCTAAAACACATCAAACCAATAGATAACAACTGTCATATTCGTGACTTGGTACAGGCATTTTCTTATATAGAAAATGGTGGATTGAACCTGGTATTATAGCTAGCTAAACCTCTCACTTGTATGATATTCAGATCAAATTCCATTTTCATTAAGTCCAAACATGTATTGCATGTGTTTGTCAAAATCTGTTTCTTTTCTCATGATATAAGGATAGAATTTACAGAAATAGAAAGAAAACCGACACAAAGAGGTCTTGAAACACAGTGGGACAAAATTTATAATAAGATTTGATTTTTCATGGGTAAATATTCCTGCTGTGAAAAAAAAATCTACTGCTTTTTTTATCAAAATTAAACTAAAATTTGAAACACAATCTAAATTTGATTAGGTATTGGAGCTTGCTTCTGTTAAGGTTTGGCTTTTTGTGATTTAGATATTTCAATTAAAACATTTGAGAAAAGAAACACCTTTTTTGACTGATATTTGTATTGTTATGAATATTCTTACTCATATAATATTCTTTTTATTTCAGAATATTAAGATCAAAACATGGAATGAAAATCTTTCTGGAAATTTCTCCCTTGTATAAAACCTGAAACAAAAAAAACAACATCTTTTTGTTATATACAGTTGGGTGCAGACCAAGCATTACATTTAGACGGACGGAAAAAGTTAACGCGGCGTTTACTCGCGTGCACTTCATGTAAACATCACGTTAACTGTGCGTTTTTTTAACTCCGAAATTTCGGTAGACATAAAAAGTAAACGGGCGTTTACTTTCGCGTTTACCTTCGCGTTAACGAAAAAAACGGCGCGTCTTCTAATTTTGTAAAGAGTAAACGTGCGTTTACTTCCGCGTTAAAGTGAAAAAAGGCGTGTCTTCTATTTTCGTCAAAAGTAAACCCAGATTGTGATCGTATCCTGGATACACTGACCTTAAATATCAAATGATAAGATACATCAAAATTAAATAACCAACTGGTCATTTTCGATTGACATATTGACGATTAAAGTTCATCAGGGACTTTCTAGTGAAGAAAGTCCCTGAGTTCATTTTCTTCACAAATAAACAGTTCAAGCATGTCCTTCTTTTATACAAATAATTTAATCATAACCAACAGTTTTCACATCTCAGATGACTCCTAAAACAAAATTATGATTTCATTAACCAAAACTGACCATAGTTGCAATTTATCAAGTAAATCTATATAGCCGCATAGAAAATCAGTTATATTTTTATATCATAATGGACTGTATAATACAAATGACAGCAATATTGGAACACAATGACTACAAAATTTTGTTCGCATCATTTAAGAGTGCCATCATGTCATCTTTTTATTCAAAATATTGAATCGTAAACAAATTTCAGTAGTTTTCATACCTCAGACTGACTCGTATAACAAAATTATTTGTCCGCATCAACCAAAACTGACCATATTTGCACCTTATAATGCAAATCTTATAGTTGCATAGTAAATTAGTAATATTTTTATGTCAGGATGGATTGTAATAATTATAAAAATAATGGCAATTTTGTAACAGAATGACTACAAAATTTTGTTCGCATCAATTTAGAGTGCCAGCATGACCTCTTTTTATTCAAAATATTGAACCGTTAACAAATTGCAGTAGTTTTCATACCTCAGACTGACTTGTAAAACAATATTGTTTGTCCGCATCTACCAAAAACAGACCATATTTGCACTTTATTATGTAAATGTTTTAGTGGCATAGTAAATCAGTAATATTTTCATGTCAGGACAGATTGTATAATAAAGATGAGAGCAATATTGGAACACAATGGCTACAAAAAAATTTCCACATCAATATAAAGTTTCAGCATGTCCTCCTTTTCTTCTAAATATTGAGTAGTGAACACATTTGAGTAGTTTTGATACCTCAGGATGCCTTGTATAACAAAAGTATTTGACTGTATCAACCAAAACTGACCATATTTGCTCTTTATTCTGTAAATCTATATAGCCGCATAGTAAATCAGTAATATTTTTATGTCAGGAG